TTACAATGTATTTCAATTAATTACAATAGGAGAAACATTTATTACATCCGCCGTTTTCAAAATGTTAGGTTGTGGGCCAGGTATCGTCTGAAGCTGCACCAGTACTTATACAAAACCGCCAAAATAACTACGGGGGAATTTATTACACATTAATAACAATTTATTACAATAGAAGAAACATTTATTACACCTGTAGTTTCCGAAATATTAGATTGTGGAACAGGTTTCGTCTAAGGCTGGTCCAGCTCTTATATATCACTTACAAAACAACTACGTGGAAATGTATTACACATTAATTTCAATTTATTACAATAGAAGAAACATTTATTACACCTGCCGTTTTCAAAATGTTGGATTGTGGGCCAAGTTTCGTCTAAAGCTGTTCTAGCACTTATACCTCACTACAAAATTATCTACAATGGAATTTATTACACATTAATTACAATATATTACAACAGGACAAAGATTTATTACATCTGCTGTTTTATCAATATTAGGTTGTGGGCCACACAACTAAAGCTACACCAGCATTTATACAGCACCGACAATATTACATCAGGGGAATTTATTACACATTAATTACAATTTATTACCAAAATAACCATAGTTAATATAAAAATATTGTTTATTAATCATAAAATAAACCATTTTTTTTAATATAACCTCAATTTTCTTAAAATGCATCTCCATTATTTTCTATAGCTATATTATTTTTTTTAAGTGCTTGTATTAGATAAAATATTGGACAATCGATAACACTATCGAGTGTCAAATCTATAAAAAAATCTTAATTTATTTCGTTTCTCTTTCTAAAAATCTTTTTTTACCTTTAATTTCCAGCCACATCCGGCTATTACACATTGATTACAACAGGAGAAATATTTATTACGCCTTCCGTTTTCGAAATATTAGGTTGTGGGCCAAGTATTGTCTGAAGCTGCACCAGCACTTTGTAAGAAATATTTATTACACCTGCCGTAGCTTGTGGGCTAAAAAAAACTTCCTTATCGTCATATAATTGGACATCTGCATTAGAACATGATTTTGTATATAGACATGAACAAAACAAATTCGTTTTTTTACAGCTACACAGCTTTTAGGTACATGCGGCTTTTCATGAACAATAAATCATAGTTAATATGATAAGTTGTGATGTTGTTAAAGGGTCAACAAATTATTTGTTTTAGCCCAGCTTTATTCCAAGGGTTTTTTTAATGCACCATCCATGCTTTGATAAAATTGTGGTATCCTGATGCTCCCGATAAACGGTAAACGGGCTAATAATAGATTTATATTTAATAAATCTAAGTTCATTGAGATTTTTCCGCAATGTGTATTTTCCGTCCGTATAAGATTATCAGCAACTTATCTTCTGACTTTATAATGCTGTTTTCATTTGAATTTGGGTTCTCCTGAACCCATACGGATACAATCTTCTGCATTTCTGCGTTTTTCTCCAAAAGTTTAAAGGCGGAAATCATTGTTTTTTCTTTTAAACAAGTATGTTTCATAGCCAGACAGCATGAACACATAAAATATACTCTTTTGGTATGCCTACGTACTTTTGCGTTTTTAAGATATTTGTGAATTTATTTTGTATGTCAGATCTGCCTAGCCGTATCGTACATATTTTTCACCACCAACCATGTACATTAAAATTACAGCAAGGTATGTGTCATCGCCGACTAAAACTACCGGTGATCCAGAATTTACCTAAATAAATTGCCGTCTCAGCTAAAATGGCATCAGCATCTCCTTTCGGGCTTATATTACTCAAATTCCTACACCCTCATGTCTTTTTGTAAGTGTTGTGATAAATGACATCTTATTTTTCACACTGGATTACAATGTTTCTTGACTTACTTTAGTTACAGTATTTTCCGTAAATGTAATGTCAATGAAAGAAAATTTCCGTGTGTGGCGAATATGGACTTCATGCAATTTTTCAATATCATGCCATGCTCATCAAATACTATTGTTGAATTAAAACCATAGTGATGAGTAAGTGTTAATTGTGGTGGTGGTGATATAAACAACTAGTATAATATATTTAGATTTAGTGAATTTGGAAAACTAACTATACAGGGTGTTTCCGAACTTGGCGTACAAATTTGTAGGGGTGGTAGTTCGCATAATTTGAGAGCGATTGGCAGATTTCATTTTTCTAAAAAAGTTATAATAAACAAAATAGAGCCATTATAAAAAAATCAAAGAGCAGGTCCTACCCTGAGCGCGTAGCGCAATAGTCCTCAAAAACAGATGCGATTTGCAATTTTGTCGATTCTAAGCGTAGCGCGCGCGAGTCGAGGCGTTCCTATCGCTGTGCAGGACCGTACCTGTTTATAATTTTTAATTATTTTTATTTTAAATATTTTGGAAAAATAAAATCTGCGAATCGGTCTCAAATTATGCGAACTACCACCCCTACAAATTTGGACGCCAAGTTTGGAAACACCCTGTATAACAAAAACAATTTATTAAACAGAAATTGTAAATTAAAACTAAGTAAAAGATTGGTAGTTATTGCATATTTTAACACAAATTTTAAGGGGATAAAAAACTTTTTTTGGTAAAAAGTGTTGTAAAAAAACAAAAATATATTATTTATATCTACTTTTACGCTAAATCTACATTTGTTAAGACTATTAGGCAAGTTATTATTTCAAGACAATGATTTAATTTAAAATAATTATTTTGTGAAAATTTTTTCCTGTTATAATGAGGATCAATTAAAAAACGGCTTAGCCGAATTCATTCCTTTTGAGACACTAATGTATTTATAGTTGCTTAATGAACATTATTTTTTTATTTATCTAAATATAGTGATGTTCACATTGTCAAAAAATGTACAGTATGTTGAGCCAACGCATCAGGCAAAATAAAGATGAGATATTTAATTGCATTTGGATGTGTGCAATAAAGATAGTAATTGATTTGACCACACCCTTTCGATGGCAAGCATGGGTTATTGCGGTCCACATTCATTCATATTATTCTATTACTCTCTATTCAATGGCATTGTGTTCCATACCGTTTTCCTGGAGCCAGGATGGTAATAGTATATTACACACCGAGGTGGGAAGAGTTTCATTCCTGTCGTGAGATTAATTAGATCACCGCGCGAGACGCGAAGGGTCGAGGTTAGCTATGATCTCGAGACAGGAATGAAACTTCCTACCGAGGTTTGTATACTATTTTATTTACAACCATCATATTTCGATCAAAGTTAATAAATCTCTGTTTCGTTCTGAGGTTAGGTTAGGTTACGTTAGGTTAGGTTAGGTTAGGTTAGGTTAGGTTAGGTTAGGTTAGGTTAGGTTAGGTTAGGTTAGGTTACGTTAGGTTAGGTTAGGTTAGGTTAGGTTAGGTTAGGTTAGGTTAGGTTAGGTTAGGTTAGGTTAGGTTAGGTTAGGTTAGGTTAGGTTAGGTTAGGTTAGGTTAGGTTAGGTTAGGTTAGGTTAGGTTAGGTTAGGTTAGGTTAGGTTAGGTTAGGTTAGGTTAGGTTAGGTTAGGTTAGGTTAGGTTAGGTTAGGTTAGGTTAGGTTAGGTTAGGTTAGGTTAGGTTAGGTTAGGTTAGGTTAGGTTAGGTTAGGTTAGGTTAGGTTAGGTTAGGTTAGGTTAGGTTAGGTTAGGTTAGGTTAGGTTAGGTTAGGTTAGGTTAGGTTAGGTTAGGTTAGGTTAGGGAGTTGGGTACATTTTAACCCCCCGTATGTTTTTGACATAAAGAAACTTGCTTTATCGATCTTAAATTCAAAAAGAACTATGAATTTTTATTTTTTTTATAGCGAAATGAACTTTGTATCTTTCTTAGTTAACGAGCTATTTACAATTTTTTAACTGAATTTCTAAAGCAATTCGTCCGTCCTTGACTTAACATATCAAGAAAACTAAGATGAGGTCCGGAGTTATTGTCCAAAAAACGCATATAAAAATCAGTGATATGTCTAGGGCTGTGCTTAAGCCGCCTCTGCAAAAACTACCTCTTTTATTTATATTTTTGTAAAAAAAGTTATTTAAAATATTGGATTGGTGCCATAAAAATGATGTGCCACCCATCCTCATTGGTTCACCATACCACTGATAAAAATACACGTTAGTTTGGAAATGCATTTATTAAATTTAATAGTAATTAAAAAAAAATTAAATAAACAATTAAACAAAAAATTAACAATTAAAAATAAACACTTGACAATAATTATTATACATATTTTATATACTATTTAATTTAGTAAATGTTCAACGTATCGTCCTTCTCCTTTAATACAAAAATATAAATAAAAACACTTTTTACACAAAAAACGGTTTTTTTTAATGTTAGTTTATTTTTTGGTAATCTTTCTGAGGAAGAATTTATGACATATCTCTTTGAAACACCCTGTAGAATTGTGTTTTGAAGTTCAACTTAACGATCTTTTATTTTAGTTATTAACCATGATCATGTTTTCAAGCATAATTAAATTATTTTTTATAGTTTGTATAATATATGTATAACAATACTCTTAAAAAAGTTACTCATCTAGGTACTATTACTTATTATTTTTTGGAAAAAATAAAAAAACACGTGATTAAACGTAAATAAATATATAATTTATTCATAGTATATTACAATTTAAAAATACTGTCTATTTTTTTTTCTACAAATACAGTACATGTAAGTCCTTAACAACTAATTTTAAATATATGTTTATTATGTACAAACTCTATCTTCCATTTTCTTCTTGTCACAGACCTATAAAAAAACAATTTATTAAATTTAACATACGTGCAAAAACATTTATATACATTTAATATAGAAGTGGACCTAGATTGGTACTGTGAGGGACCCCATTTGACTAAAGATGAATTATGCTCGGTGTCCTTTCAATTAAATAAGATGTATGTATAAGGTTAAACAACTGCATGATCATCATAAAACTGAATTTTATTTTTTAAGAATCAAAATTATTGCCAATGACTTAACTGTAATATCTGAGAGTTGATAGTTTTGAAATATAATATTTACCCATAGTTTCTTGTTGAATCTCTACTTTGTACGTGGGATTGTCGTAGGCAGATTGACTAACTCTAGAAGGTGGTGTGATGGCAGCCTTATTTTGATTGTGCCGTCGTATTAAAATGAGTAATAGCACCAAAGTACTCATCACAGCTATCGAGGCCAGTATGGCTACAATGACTAGAGGACCGTAATAGTCTCCCTTCGATTCCAGATGTTCTGCTCTGGAAAGTTTATCTAAAAAAAGCATAAAATAATTTGAGTATCAAAATAAATATAATTGCTTATATAATTACACTGTAAAATATTCTTAAGGTACTTTCTAAAAATAGTTAAACTTAAAAGATACTCTTACTTTAAGAATACTTTACTATAATAATGCTTTAATAATACTATAATAATGCTTTAATAATACTTTAAAAATACTTTACTTTAATAATACTTTAATAATAATTTAATATTACTTTAATAATTAAAAAATCGAAAATAAATCACACTCAAATGTGATCAAGACGTAAAATACATAAAACTCAAAGCCAATATCACATAATAAAGAGCGATCGTTTTCCTTCAGAAAACAACTACTTCTTTGGCTAATACCGCAACAGATATTGAATTGTCAGCCTGGTTTTTTTGGTTCCACCTAGTTTTCTAACTGGATACTACAGCGCCCTTTGATTTTATTTACTAGAAACAGATGGCGACACCATTTCCCTACTTGAATTCTTATTTTCTTCGTAACTAACTTTATTGTATACTGGTGAAATATGTAACATTTGTTAATTCCAGTAGAGACTGAAATTGAAAACCTATCTATTTCTTGCTGAAGAGTCCTAATAAGGACGAAACCGGTTCAAGAATGATGTTCTCCTTATTGAGCAAAATCAAAGGTAGAGTATTGAAATTTAATTTCTAACTCTGCTGTCTTTCCTTCGGATATAATTCAATACCTGTTGTGGTATTAGCCAAAGGAGTAGTTGTTTTCTGAAGAGAAACAGTCGCTCGTTATTATGTGATATTTGCTTTGAGTTTTATTTATTTTACTTTAATAATTATTTAAACTTTAATTAATAATACTTGAGAATAATTAATAATACTTTAATGATAATTTAATGATACTGTATGATACTTTAATGATACTTCACTTTAATGGGAATACTTTATTAATTCTCTAATAATACTTTAATATTATATTAATAATACTTTAATAATATGTACTTTAATGATACGTTAATAATACTTTAATAAGATTTTAATACGTTAATAATACCTTAATGATACTTTATTTTATTAATATTTTAATAATACTTCAATATATTTAATATTACTTTAATTAATAATACTTCAATGATAGTATACTTTATTGATATTTAAATGAAACTTTAATAATACTTGAATGCTACCTTAATGATACTGTAATACTTTATTAATATTTTAAGAATACTTTATTAATACCTCAATAATTCTTTAATAATATATTAATAATGTGTACTTTAATTATACGTCAATAATAATTTACTTTAATGGTACTATTTTTTATTGATACTTTAATGATATTTTACTTTAATGATACTGTAGTAATACTATACTTTATTAATACTTTAACAATATGTTAATAATATTTTAATAATACTTGAATGATACTTTATTAAGACTTTAGTGATAATTTAATACTTTATTAATATTTTAATAATACTCTAATATATTTAATATTACTTTAATAATACTCTAATATATTTAATATTACTTTAATAATTAATAATACTTTAATGATTCTTTACTTTAATGATCATTTAATACTTTATTAATATTTTAGGAATACTTTATTAATACTTTAATAATTCTTTAATAATACTTTAATATTAAATTATTAATATTTTAATAATATGTACTTTAATTATACGTCAATAATACTTTACTTTAATGATACTATTCTTTATTGATACTTCAATGATACTTTAATAATACATTAATGATACTATACTTTATTGATACTTGAATGATACTTTAATAATACTTGGATGATACTGTAATATTACTTTTTTAATATTTTAATAATACTTTAATAATATTTAAATAATACTTTAATAATATAATGCTTTATTAATATTTTAATAATACTACAATAATACGTTAATTATACTTAAATTTTAACTTAAGACCACTATAAGGATACTTGCAGTACTGCATTAAGTATTGGAAAATATGAATAAGTATTTTCGACGATATAAGCATCGTAGTAAAAAATTTTATGTAAGCCGTTTTGAAAAGGATTCAGGAGGCACTATTAATCGTTGAAAGATTGTATCTAAAAGAGGCATTTTCCACAAACCCCACAAAAGTTTTCAGACACAAGCTTAAAAGCATAACAATTAACAGAAAATTAGACAGGGGAATTAACAAGTACTCCCACTGTACCAATAGAGCTATATCTACACAGCTACAGCTGGCAAAGAAATGAATTGACATGGGACCTTTTAGAAAAAGGACAATTGAAGATTTTAGAATTAATAAAAGAAAAATCATAATACTGGAAAGGGTTTAAAATCAGAATGATATGAAAATATAAAAAGAATCGCACTGATATGCAGATTCGTGGAAGATGTACTCGTAAAACAACATAAGCGCAGTCATATATGGAGTAAACATTTGTAAATAAGTTAAGAGCTTAGATAAATATTTCATCGTGGCCCAATGGTTAATTATTTAATATCAATTATAATTGCTGGCCCACCGAAGGACTAGGTCGTCTTAAGTTTGATTCTCAACTAAGTACAGTAATATTAAAACATACCTACTTATGCCTTTTAAACTTTAAACGACACTTACCTTGCTGCGTTGACGCCCCAAGCACCGGGACAGTCCTGGGTTTCGTGATAAAATCTTGAACATTACTAGTCTTAATCTTCCCGTTGGTGAGATATACCTCCAACCACAGCCTGTACCTAGTTCCAGGCTTCAAATCCACAATAATAGTTTTCGTCGGAGAATCCCTCTTAGCTATTTTGAACAAACTTTGGTCCTCTTTACCGGAATCGCTCTGGTAAATCGCTCTGTAGATATTCACGTATTTATCCTCGGGATATGGAACGCCGTTCCAAGTGATTTCGACGTTCTGGGATTTTATTTGGGATATTTCCAGGGATACATTGAAGCCGTATGTGTCCAATTCGTTGGCGGTTGTGAAATGAAGCATGTGTTCAGCGTGTAGTTCTGTAAGCTGACCTGGGAACGGTATAAAGAAGATTCCAATTTCGTACTTGGTGTTAGGTTTGAGTTTCTCCAGAGTATAGCTAGTTACAGCTCGATGAATTAAGGGAGTAGCAGCGTAGATCTTTCCATCGATTTCTCTATACCTGAGTTGCACGCCATCTATGAATCTCAGTTCGTTTTCATCGAATTTCTTCCACACTACAGTCACCCACGTCGAATTGATGTCTGTGATGGCTAAGTCTGGTTCGATTGGTATCATTGGTGGTAGCGTTGTTGTTATTATCTCTCTAGGTGTTTTTATTTTGTATATTCTGCTGCTGTGCGTTGTGTGGATATCTCTTAAGGTTATTGTTATTTTGATTTTGTATTCTGTATTGGGTTGTAAATCTTGTAGGTCGAATTCTAAGGACGGTGTTGCTATCAGATCATTAGGCGGTGCGAAGACTTGTAGCATCCAGGAGTCTAAATCGTCGTCCCTGCAAATTTAAATATTATTCATTCTCCCACTAATTCTAAAACAGTCTACTTACTCTTTTTGATTGGTATATCTAACTTCCACCCTTCCGTGTAGGTTGACAATGACAGGTGGTACCATGAAAGCCAGCCGGACTGTATGAGGATCGATAGCTTCAAGTGTGTGGACTAAAATGTCATCTTCTGGTTGTTGATAACCTGGGAAGGGTCCTTGGAATCCACCACCAATTCCTAAAAATTTAATTCAATTGTAAATGGAGTTTAAGATCAAATTATTTGTTGTCCTAAAAGTTTTTATTTGTATAGCATTAATATAAGCCTTAATAGCCTTAATGTAACTTTCATAATATCCGTCACAACTTAAGAAAACTAACCTGGGTATGTTAAATTGGATCTAGGTGGCAATGGTATATTGTGCTGTCCCGGGAAGGGCCTATTGAAATTTTGATGATTAGTGGGTCCATTGGGCAGGGTGTTTTTATGGAACTCATTCAAAAGATGTTCCAGTGAGAACCCGGGAGGTAAGTTACCAGGATCATTTTCGCCATCGGCGTTTTGGGGCACCACGTAAGGTACCAAATGAATATTGGATTTGTCTGAATTCGATATGGAGTTAGGTGCTTGTTTGGAAGAAGTGGGATAATTGTGAATTTCTAATACAGACCCTGAAGGATAATTACTGAGTTCCGGATGTTGATTTATAAATTGTAATAGCTCTTCTGCATTTCCATTACCGTGTATCTCAATTTCCGAATGAACATGACCTGGTAGGGGCGTCGTTGTACTAGATACTGAATTAGAAGGTGGAGTTACAAACAAAGCGGGCTTTTTGTTTTTTGATTTATCAGGTTTGACGTGACTGATATTGTTGTTTTTAGTGTTATTATTTTTATGATAAAATGGGTTCTCTTGGGAGGATACTTTGTGTTTGTCATTTAATCCTAAATCTTCTGTTTTGTCTGGTGATTCGTTTTCGTAAACAGCAAGTGGTCCCATGGTTTTGGAAGGCGTTTTGGTTGCAAATGGCCCTGGATATGACGGTTTTGTCATGTTTTTATATTGTGTGTCTTTTTCTGCTACGTTGTTGTCGGTCACTGAAATGAGATCGTTAAACCAGGTGAAAATAAGAAGTAGTTACCCACAATTTATAACTATCGAACACTGTGATCGATTTCTTTGAAATTTTCTCTATTTATATTTTATCTAATTTCCAATCTGAGTTAAAAATCCATGTTGATTAATTAAAAATGATATAACGATGGGCAATTTCATTGGAAAACATTTAAGATATATGTAGAGAGAAGCACTAAAGAACTGGAGGACAAAGTATTTAAAGAAATGTTTAGAGATGACCAATATTTAACACTCTTTTTTGTGAAGGTCCTAGTAATTATTCAGTATTATACGGATTATATATTCTAAAATCTAAATTGATTTTATATAAAGTGGAATGCTGTTTTCTGAATCCAAATTGATCTCTGATCACTTTGAGCCTATTTGAATAATAACAAAATATCTTCGTATGAATGAATTAATATACAGGGTGTTCCATTTATGCGGAAAACATAAATCAACCATATTGAATTTTTATCTCTGATAACTGAAATTAAATCTAATATATCTACTACAAATTTAAAAGAAATTTATCAGTCTGGTCAAAAGTTATAAGGATGGTCTACTTGTTATTTACAACCAGTTAATGTCATTAGCTTTCAGACAAATGTATGTACCAAAAGCCTTTCACCTACCAAAACCGAAGCTATTTACAAATGTCAGTATGTGTACCAGTACATGTCTACGATCTAAGCCATACCATTGCCATATTTAGTTAGTAAAAACTATGTTTTTTAGAGATTTATTATTACAGTTATTTTAAATGTATTAGAAAACAATATTTCAAAAGAATTTGTTCAACATTTCTACAGGGTGTTTCATTACTAATTGAAAATATTTCCACTATAGAATCCTGAGCTTAAAATATAAAGATTTAATCCAATCATCTAGATAACATGTTTCTCCTGTCTGAGTTACAGAATTCTTATAGATTAGAAGGATTAATGAAATTTAAGTAACTCCAATTCATCACCATATCAGTAAAGAGGACTCCTTACGGGACACTGCGGCCTTAGAAGACACCTAAATCTGATGACTCCCTATGTAAAATATGTGAAGAGGAGGACGAAACCCCTATTCACATACTATGCCACTGTCGGAACCTTAAATGGGAACGGTAATGGTACTTCGGGGTACAATATCCGGAACCTGAAGAAATCGCCAAAGCGCCCATCAGACATATTCTTGAATTCATCAAGAAAATCAATCTGATGGGATAGAAACTGTGAGGGATACAATCAGTCTAGAGCTTCAGTACAAGTGGGCTTTGAACCACGCCCTAATTCAGATAGATAGAAAAAAGAAGCCACTTGAGTACACTTTTTTGTTTTTTCCCCAGATTTGGGTAAATTTATAGATTACATCTGGAAACACCGCATCGCATCATTCAGTGGTAAATACGGCCTATAATTAACAGGAAACTTGACAAAAAAGACAACACCAATCCTCCAGTAGACCGCCCAGATCGATAGATCTTTTTAGACTGATAACAGTGAGAAAGTTTCTTGTTTAATTATTGGCCGTACTTACGATAATTCAATCATAAGGTGCAGTGTTGCTAGATCTACTTCACAAATTTCCCCAAATCTTCTTTAAAAATAAAAAAGGGTACCCTGTCTACTCATATCTACAGATAAAAATAGTTGTTGCGAGGGGAATAGAGAAATTAAGATAGACCTATGTAGGGTGTAACAAAAAGTTATGTCATAAATTATACCCTAGGTCCAACAAAAAAAGTCGGTTTGAACTAACTTACCTATATACAAAAGTACTTTCAAAACAATATAAAACCTTTTGAAATCTCAAATTGAAAATCAATTTTTTCCAATACCTTGAAAACGGTTAAAGAATTGGTTATGAAAATGAACATGTAGTTTTATTAAAGTAGGAGCAACTTTATAAGAAAAAATTAACAAAACAATTCACCTCGTAAAATTTTTATGTAGAAAATGTAAAGAAGAGGACGAAACTCCTATTCACATTTGTATCTGTAACGTGTGAGGGTTGGGTTAACTCACGGTACTTAGGCTTAACTAGGCCCTTTGTGCACCTCCTAGCTCGTGAACCAGCTTACAGAATTAATGTAGTTGACAACGTCGTCAAGAGGTGCTTCTCTAATATCAGCCGGTGTTAGCCGATACTAGCCGAATACAAATCTTCTAATCAATGAGAGTGTCGGGCAATCGTAGAGGATATGCTCGATATTAGGTTTGTTCCAACCCAACAGAAAACCGTACATCGTACGGTCATCGTTATTCGCAGTAAATAAAGTCCGTTCCATCCGAGAAGTGACGATTCATTGTACCGTCCGGTTAGCGTTCCAACCAAACATGGGGCCGTTCGGGAATCGGTTTCTGTACGGTCCTTTCGAAACCAAACTAAAAGTTGGTGTCGCTTGGGTTGACATGCGCACTGCGTACAGTGAAACGAGCAAGACCAGTCTTTTTTGTTTGGTTTTGGCCTTTCATACTTGGTGCTTACGTTTTTAAATTAAATTGTTTTTCAGATTGTCTGCTTAATTATGTTTGTTCTTGGATAGTACCTAATTTAATTAGAGTGATGAAGAAGGTGATGATTTTCTCTTAAACTTATCGTCTAGTCAAGACGATTTAGAACTTGCTCTAAATAAACATAGAGTTAAAAATGATAACTATATAGGTAATTCCTATATCCCGCCAACTGAAATTGTCCAACAGCGTCGTTCGATCTGAAAGTGGCATATAAATTCGTTCCATCCCGGTAGAGTGTGATCCTATCCACAATACAGTGCTAGGTTAGCGTTTGCGCATAACAAGCTAGTTGAACGATCCCTTGTACTGTTTTGAAACGGTACAAAACTCTGGGTTGTAACAAGGTTATTTTCATCTTTTTGTTCGCGTTCCATGCAAAATGCGGATTTGGACAGCCCCATTATATGGAGATGCTTTCGTACTTAGCAATGACCAGTCAGAATGCCTGTTATCAGGCGCAGATTATGTCTTGTTTGCGGTAGTGTTGTCAGCATACCTAACAGCTCCCTGGCAAGTGTGCAGCTTCTTGTTTCATCCTATCTTTCCTTGAATTTTAAAAGGGAGTGTTCTTTAATTGGGTTTGTCATTATCGATGTTATCAGTTCAATAGAAGGGTCCAAAAAGTATTTGGTTGAATGCCTTCTTGGTTAATGCATTAGCAGACGGTTACCTATCGAACTGGTGTGACCTTTGATACACTTTAATTTGACCACATTGTTGACGGATACTTCTGTCAAAGCTTCATGATAATCGTGTACTAACCTTGAGAAAATTTGTGGTCTGTCTTGGGTGAATAGTGTTTTTCTGTTATCTGTATAGATGATCCTGTTCCTTCCAGTGATATTATTTCGGATAATTTCTTTTGCTCGACGTCTTGCTTCATCAGATCCTACAGGTTCCATTCTAACCGTGCGTAGGTGTGTTATTGTCATTAAAGCAACCTCCTTGATGCAAATATCAAGGGGAGTAAGACTAAGAGTGATTTCCATGGCACTGGTCGGTGTGGTTTTCATGGCTCCTATTAGGTTGAGACACACTGTTCTTTGAATTTGTTCTAGTTTACGGATAGCTGTCAATTTATGGGTTTTCGGTACTCAAACAGCTGCACCGTATGTCAGCATAGGTCCTATGATGGACACTTCACTCCCTGTGGACATCACCTCGCCACCAAGCCTCTTATATTCACATCTTCTACACTTTTATGTTTACTGTTTGCTTTGAGAGCATGTTATGTATCCACCCACTAACCATCTGTGGAACATTTCTGTTGTTTAGTGATTGTATTATCTTGGGATCCTATTTACATATTATTTTATTGTCAAAACTTTAAATGGGAACGGGAATAGCACTTTGGGGTGCAATATCCGAAACCTGAAGAAATCACGAAAGCCCTATCAGATATATTCTTGAAAATTTTAAGAATATTAACCTGGTGGGGTAGAAATATAAAATGGTACAATAAGTCTAGAGTTTCAGTATGAATGGGATTTGAAGCACGCCCTAATAGAGGTAGATAGATCCAAACGGGACATAATTATAATGTGACTATTTAGCAACATTTCACAAGTTTATAATTTTCTTTATAATATTGAATTATCTTTAGATTGCCTTTTTATTTGATCCAAGTCGGCAGTACGATAGATTACTGATGCCACTACCATTATGTCTACTGCAGTAACTGAAATATTCCATTTTTATTCAGAGTAGTAATTACAATTTTTAGTAATGAGTTTAGCACATTAGTTTGAGACGTTCTGTGTTTGCTAATATTAAAACTGTTGAAATTACACAAAAAGCTCATATATACAGACTTATAATACTAAAAAAATACTTATTTACCTTGATCATGTTCATTTGTGTTGCAAACCCAATATTTGCAGCAATCGTCTTCAGGTATATGGTCGATCCTAGCCATGCTGGGTGGACATCCCAAATTGGGTGGTGGGTGCGCTGTGACAGGCGGACAAGCATTTTGACATTCTATCTTACCCATCTCACAGTAGCACCTCTTCTCACAACCACTAACATTTACAGGTAACTGTTCCCAGTTTTTATAAACAGCTCCTTCAAAATCGCAAGAACCGTTATTTTTGCATTTGATACTAGTAGGGCAACAATTTGGAGGAGATGGTACGAAATTTGGTGGGATCGTTTCCCATTCTATGCAATTTGGATCCAGGATATCGACTCCGAAGTACGTAGGACATTGAAGTTTCAGACACTTCATACCGCCTTCTTGACATATACATAAAGAGGTGCAATCATCATTGTACTCCTCGCCAATATTGAAGAATTTATCTTTGTATTGGCAACCAGATAAGTCTGTCTTATTTTTTACTATATCTTTGGGATTTCCTTCGAAATTCTGAACGTTGATAATGTCATCGGAATTTTCGAATTTTAAATATTTAGCAATACTTTTTACTAGAACATAACCACCTGGTGAGATTTTAAATTTTTGCCAATTAACTTTATCGTCACTAATTTCAACTACTACGGAGGAGCTATCTGTCGTTTCGATTTTTGGATCCAATTTCAGCAAGATGGTCGTTGAATTAACATATTTCGCTGATAGTATCCTTCGAACTTTTTCGTCTTCTTTGTCTGATTCGTTGTCTTCTAGGGTAACGTCGCAAAGGACCTTTTTACAGCAAGCGTCCGCCGTGTTTGGTACTTCTACGCATCTGTCGTGTGGTTTGCTGACTGGAGGACACCTGCAACATATTTGAATTTTAATAATTGTGTATGTAAAGAGTATAACTGAAAAATAGTCCCAAAATCTTTTTTTTTTTTTTCGAAAACACTCTAAAACTGGTTAATTTACGGAAAAAATCGTTTTGAATTGGACATTTTAAGTAATAAGACTCCCCATAGGTTTAATAGTATATTACACACCGAGGTGGAAAGAGTTTCATTCCTGTCGTGAGATTAGTTACCGAGACGCGAAGCGTCGAGGTTAACTATGATCTCGAGACAGGAATGAAACTTCCCACCGAGGTTTGTATACTATTTTATTTACAACCATCATATTTCGATCAAAGTTAATAAATCTTTGTTTCGTTCTGAACATACCCAAAATATTACATTTAACGACAAATTACCAAGCACGCCCTTTTCTCAGAATAATTAAGTAAATATATTGTTTCCGTGACTACGGGGTAAATAATTGTCACCAATATAAATAAATGTCAGATAAAGTCGGATATTAAATTCGCGAATAATAATTTCAAAAAAAAATATATTTTAGTTCATTGTTGCTTTATGTTGTATTATAAAATTTGTCAAAAAATGTGTTTTTTTTAAATATAAAAAATATTTATCTAGAATAAATGAAATGAGGGCGGGAAGTAGAGGTGTGTAATGTGTCACTTTCCAACCTTCAATGACGTTAGTAATGATAGCATTACATATCGCCGTTCCGGTGGAATATGCAATTTTTTTGCAAAATCGGGTTATTGCCATAAATGGACCCAAAAAATTAATGTTTATTTGGTAAAATAAAGACGTAAGTGTAGTATCAATTTTTACCGCCAGATTGAAGTTGTGCGCTTATTCCATTTTCAGATATTAAAAGCATATTTCGCGAAAACAGCGCCGCAAGTGTCAGTTGTTTCTCAACCGCGGAGTAAAACGGACGTTGCTAAGTGGAATAAAGACGCAAGTGATAATTTTGCCTATCAGAATACGATTAGTTTCCAAGCTTTTGGGAAAACAAAGACGTAAGTGTATTATGTGGCCGTATTCGACTAAATATAGTTTGCTTAAAAGCCAGAAATACAAGAAAAAATGCCATAAGTGTACTTTAAGTCTTTATTCTTTTTTAGAAAAAGGTTTTTCCTAACTAAAATTTGCGTAAATGTAGCAAAATATGTATAGAAATTATATTTTTTATTTAATTTTAGATAAGACAAGCCTAATTATTGATGCGCTTTTTGTCTTTAATAAGTAGCTAGATACTACCTACCTATTAAAATATTATTATAAAATAGAGTTATCTGTTAATGGATTTGTCTTTAATTATTTTTAGATTCCTATTTGCTGCTGTTAGCTGTGGAACGATTTGCAATAAAGTCAATAACACATAAATTTTTAATCTGCGGGCACACGCAAAACGAAACAGATGCTATCCATAGCATAATTGAAAAAAAAAATGAGAAGAACAAAAAAGTCTGGACTCATTTATGTCCCAGACCAATATGTATCGATGATCCGTGATGCAAAAAAAAGGAAATATTGATGTTAAAGAAATGGGGTTTGAGTTTCTATGATCTGAAAACATTATTTGATGATATGGGCCTAAACATTGCTAAAAATGTTGATGGTAATGAATTTAAAATAAATGAAGTTAAGATTTTGAGTTTCAGAAAGGAAGTGAATTAATTCGCTATAAAACTAGCTATGGGCAAGCTAAATGGTCTTTTTTAAATTTCAAAGCTGAAAGAAGACGATCCGAACTACAAGACATTAAAAATGTTACACTTAAAAAAGCTTACTCAAAGCCTTTGCAGTTATCCGAAAATAAAAAAAGGGATATAAAAAGTTTAATAGAGAGCAACCTGATACCAACATTCTACAGATACTTTTATGATTGCATTTTAAAATAAGTATTTTTAAAGTTTCATTCTCTAATAAGGTATAGTTACATTTTAAAATTTTTGTGAATTAAAAGCTTAGTTTTTTATTTTGTTATGTATTTTTGTTGTAATAAAAAGGACAGAACTCCTTACGTGATCTTTTATTTTTGGTCAAACAAAGACGCAACTATCAAAATCCATTTTCATCTTAAGAGCACGGAAAAGCCACATATTCCATTTTATTCTACTTATTTAACAAGTTACTTTCTCACAAAATTACGATTATCATAAAAACTTTCTTTTAGAAATAATTAATTAAAGGAAAAGTAAATTGTTTTTGTCTCTCCTGAAAGTTTTACCAATTTGCAGATACGTCGATATTTCACCGGAACGGCGATATATGGTTGTAAATAAAATAATAAAAATGTATTATAGAATAGACAAAAAGCAAGATAAACAACAAATTGTCGAAAAATAATTTTTATTTCGATAAAAACTCGAACACTGGTAATATTACAGGGAAACATTTTGAATTTGGATATCTTAAATCAGACGTATTTAGTAATAAGACCCTAAAAAGGTGTAAAATAATAGAAATTTATTATAAAATAGACTCAAGATAAACAATAAATAATACAAAAATCTTTTTATTCGAAATTTTGATATTTCTGCGGATCTGCTATACCAGCGTTATGCAATCCATGTGAAACATCACAACCTCTTAAAAAACAGCAAGGAAAAGGCACTTGTCTAGCAAACAAGGAGGTCTGGTTCGATTCTCTGCTGCAGCAGGTTTTTTTAAATCTGCAAGTATTTGTTTTAACCTTTGGGGTTTGGAGAAGGTTTTAATAATTCGTAAGAGGGTTTTGGGATTTTTTTCCGAATTTTTAAAGTATTCAGTAATATTTTTTCGTAAAAAAAGTAATTAGTAAAATACCCAGACAGCACACTATATCCCTGGCATATGCCACCAATCTGCCTATTTGCCAAAATATATTGCAATATTTATGAAATATTCACAAAATATATTTCATATTCTACATTTTAGAGAAATATTCCAGGCATATAAATATAAATTAAACCTCCGAGATGGAATTATCTTTCTCTTCATAGATAAAATAAAAGTATGTATAGTTTTCCTATAATGTAGACAAGAAAAGGACAAAAGAGTCAAAAGTATGCGCCTAGTACGTATTGGTAGTTAGTAGTAAAAATTACCTAATAGTGTCTTATTGGCTTCACTAACCTATCGTCGAACGTAAGTCTTTGTTGAACGGGGGGGTTAGATTGTGAGGAATATTTTTTATCCATGATACCCTGGCCAAATACTCTAAACGGTGAAGGACAATAATAATAAAAAAAAAGAAGAAGAATATGACACACAACCAAACGTGATGGAGTTATTGTTTTTTTATAGGTAAGTCTCACGATATAATTAATTATATTATATGGTCCTTCTGAAGTATCAGTGTGGTGCTAAAAATTATAAATATTTATAAATATTTTATAAGAAGAGTAAATCAATTGGTAGACGAGTCTCTTTTATTCTCAAATAATGATAGAACATTAGCTTCAGATGAATGTAAAATGTAAGCTTCTTACTGGATCTTCCGACTAAATACCATCATTCTTTTCACCAGGAAAAAACTCGTGTAAAATTCAAGAAACACTCGAAATCTGGTTAAATTAAGGAAAATAGTCTGAATTAGACGTTTTAAGTAATACGATGTTAAATAGGTGTAAAATAATAAAAATTCATTATAAAATGGACAAAAAAGCAAGATAAACAACAAATAGAAGACCAAAAATCTTTTTTATTTCGAATAACTCGAAAACTGGTTAAATTATGGAAAATAAACACTTTTAATTAGACGTTTAAGTAATAAGACTCTAATTAGGTGTAAAATAATAGAAATTTATTATAAAATAGACGAAAAAGAAAGATAAACAACAAATAGTCAAAAAATCTTTTTTATTTAAAAAAACGAAAACCGGTTAAATTACGGTGTTTTAGTTTGTTTTTATATTTTGTATTGAAACTAAGTTAATTATTTGTATCCTTTTATTTTTATAGTTTCTTACAATCAAAACTCTGAGCTGGTACGTTCTTCGGACATCTTGACTAGTCTCCCGAACTACCAACTTAACAAAACTTGACTACCAACTAAAGATTACAAGAATTGCCAACTAAAGATTACAAGAACTACCAACTTAAACAAGTTATACAACATACGGAAAACAATTACTTTGAATTAGACGTTTTAAGTAAGTCCTAAATAGGTGTAAAATAATAAAAATTTATTATAGAATAGACGAAAAAGCAAAATAAACAACGAATATCCAAACATTTTATTTATTTAAAAAAAAATCTCGAACTAGTACATACGTCACTTCAGCACACTTTCGGTTATTTTTCCCTAGATCTATGAAAAAAAGTTGATTATACGCCAAAATCTTTTTTTCCTAGATTTCATAAATCCAAGCTGGCCGTTAATAGCTCTTTCATTTTTTCTGACTGTCTCTAGTATTCTCGCTTCTCTCCAAGTTTAACCTTCGCTTTGTATCCGAAGTTTGTATTTTTTCGCATTATGCTGTAGTTTCGGTTCTCATCCTCTTCTAACTGGTCCTGTGTTCCATCCACTGTAATTGTACCAATCTAGTTCTTTTCTCTATGTTTCTGGGTCTGATAGTTTATTTTAGTTAGGTATATCAAACAATGTCTGTCTCACTAAGAACTTTTTTTTACACCCACATGGATATTTAACTATATGAAACTAATTTAATTACGAGTATTAAAACTAAAATCCTAAAATTGGCGGTGGATGTGAGGACAGAGCTTCTACCTTCCACGCGAAAATTCTGGGTTCCATAGGCGCCGAAACTCAAAAATTGCTTTGGGTGCCCGGCCTCTATGCGGGAAGTGGATGCTATCCCCCCCTCCCCAATCTCACTTAAAGGCACCACCGGTTTTTTAAAAGCACTTAAAAAGTTATTTTAAAGCGTTGATTTTGTGAAAATTTTCTTGAAAAAAAAAAAGGTTATTTTCAAATGTCCAATTGCTGGATAGGCTGAAGGCTCCCATCTAAATCGGGATATCTAGAATCTGGCAACCCTATATGCTCGGCGCAGCCACCACTGGTATTTAGTGGTGCTGCGGTGCTAGAGTACCAATGAAATAAGTAGAAACATAATATAAAACATTTATTAACTATCATGAATTTAAAAGGAGATATTTGATGATTTATTAATACACATATAATGGAGTATTGTATATATACAGGGTGGACATTTGAAAACAAAAAGAGCCAATTTTGGGTATTCCAGGTCATTTACGAAAAACTGCTTGGACCCGCCAATTTTTGATTTTAGGGGGAAACATTTTTTTGGTAAATTCACTCCCTGAACGGAAACCCTCTAGCAGGGGTAAAACTTACCCCTAAAATCTTAATGGAAAAAGGGGTCGAATGATAGCTTATTTTGAAGGCATTTTTACGTAGATTATAACCCTCGAGTTTTAAATCGTTACTATCTTCCTAGCCATGATCTTTTAACGATTTTTATTTTCTGTAAGAGCTAATCAGTTACTCGAATAAATGCTGGAAATGCTGACCCTGAGCCTCCATGCAATAATAGAGATTTTGTTCAAAACGCTCTCGGACATTTTGAAGAATCTGTGTGGTGATTTGATGACATTCATCAATTATCCGTTGTCGTAGATTTTCCAGTTATGTTGGCTGGATGGCATAAATTTTAGTTTTTAAGTGGCCCCATAAAAAAATCTAACGGACTTAGATCCAGAGACCGTGGGGGCCAATCAATACTTCCTTTACTTCCGATTCATTGATCTGGAAACGTTTGATCCAAATACTGACGAACAGTGGTGCATTTTTCTTGCTGGATTATTAAGTTGTTTGTTATGTACTAATTGTCATTCTCAATCAACTCAAGTAATGCCGGATAAATGACGTTTTCTAATAATTCCAGATACATTTCTGCGGTTAAAGTTCCAGGTAAAAAGGGGTCAATCATTTGGTTACCAAAAATGCCAGCCCAAACATTCAGTTTTTCCGGATGTTGCGTTTGCACTTCATGGAATATTCTGGGATTTGAATCGGACCAATAACGATAGTTGTGACGATTTACCGTACCATTTAGGAAAAAGTCCATTCGTCTGAAAAACACATGTTGAAAAGAAATTGCTGATCATTTATTGCCCGTTCAGTCATAATTTCACAAAATTGTAATCGCCTAGTATAATCGTCTTCTCGTTAAATTCTTTTACCAGATGTATTTTGTAGGGATGAAACTTGTGTTTTTTTAATATCTTCTGAATGCTATTTCTCTTAATACCAGATGTTATCACCAACTGTCTTGTACTCAATGTGGGTTCTTGAACAACATTCTCTGAAATCGCCACCTCTGTAGCTTCATTTACTACAGCATTTTCCATTTCACGTTATTTGTTTCCCAAAGTTTTTGGACTAACTCCAAAATATACTTTCGATGGACTTGTCGATTTTGATGTTGATTGTTAAATAGTTGGGCAGTTCTATTAGCACATTCACTATTCGTAAAAAAATTAAATTATTTGCTCCCTCTCAGCAATTGAGTAAACCGTTATCACTGATATACCACCTTTATGCCGACTCTACGACGAAATAAACTAAACCTTACTACTTTACGGCGATCAAAGAATGTCATCTGATAACAACAATTGAAAGCCACAGGAATAAAACTAGAATTGTTACAAAAATTTCTTTTTTTTAATAGCAATGTAAAAATTATGTTAAACCGGTTTTGTACTTTTGGTGAGCCACTGTATAGGCTACATAGATAGTAGCAATGTAAAACTTAGGGGCTATTATCTAGGTAAATAAGATATCATTCGACCCATCTTTCCATTTAAGATTTTACTGGTGAGTCTCACCCCTGATAGAGGATTTCCGCTCAGGGGATGAAACTGGCAAAAAAATGTTTCCCTCTAAAATCAAAAAATTACGTTTTTTAGTAGATGCCCTGGTTTCTCGCCAGCATTACTAGAGAGCTATTTCTGACTCTAAATGAACGTTCTTTTCTAATGGTGCTTGATAGAGAGTAACTTTCAAATGTTATTCCTTCTCCCCTCAAGCATTGCTCAATAGCATATGTACAAAGCTCTTGGCTTGATAATTGCAGACCGTTATTAATATTTCTTTTTTGACGTCATAGGGTTTTACATACCAAGAATTATAAACCCTTAAGTCCAAGTTCAACGCGTTGTCTATGACAAGTCACGGCGACTTTTTTATCACAAGAAATGCAGCTCCGGGGCCCTATTCTCGAATGTCTATTTCTAAATGTCACACGCGACATTGATGAAATGTCGAATAAGAATGCAAAAACGTATTCTGGAATGGCGAATTCGACATTTGTTGTTAGACATAAAGTCGAGTGGTATATAACCAGTCGACATTGTAATGTCGCATGCCTTTTTAAATATGATGTTATACCATGAGTGTCGTGACAGTGACAGTTTATATTTATTTTTAAGAAAAATGAAAATAAGTATTGTACAAATTGTTTTTAAAAATATATGAAATGGTTATTTACAATTTCACCTAATTTATCAATTATTAGTCCTGTCCAGAGTCGGATTGGGCCGTTGGTCTACAGGCAAAAGACCGGTAGGCCTTCGTTCAAGCTGTGGGCCCTCTTTCAAGCTGTGACCCTCTTTCAGGCAGTGGGCCCTCTTTCAGGCAGTGGGCCCTCGTTTAGGCAGTGGGTCCTCGTTCGGACACTGGGCCTCAATCAGTGGGCCTAAGTTAGTGGACCTCAGTCTGTGTGCCCTTGAGAATAAGAAATGCGAAATAACCCTTGAAAAAAGCATCAATGTGCAAAGAAGGCCTTTTTTGCTCTTCAAGAAATCGGCCCGTGAAAAAATATTGATAGGTGGGCCTTCTCCGTTCTGACCGGTAGGCACTGGAAGTCCCGATCCGACACTGCTCCTGTTTGTCCAAGAGATTTAAAACCTGTCATTAAGAAATTTATATAGCTCTATTTTTTCAAATTACAGGTAAAAAGATTATATCACAGACATTTTATGTAATGTTTAGATTGTATTACAATAATATATTTCTTCTTCTTTCTGTTTAATCTCTTATCAAATTGCACTTCCAATTTTCTATCAGTTAAAAAGATTATATTTATATTTTCTCTACTTTCTAATTAGTATTTATCAAAAAGATATATATTCTGGATGTATTTTCAGTATTATTTTGTATTACTAAGAGATTCTTCAAGTGATTGTCTGCTGTAATATACTCGTATTGTATGTTTCTATCCAATGTTGTCAGATGTTACTATTCGCCAAATATGTCACCGATTTGAAAAATGTCTATTTGTCTTTGAGAATACAGATAGTGTCAGTCGATCGACATTTTGATAGACATTAGTAGAAGACATTATGACGAATGCGACATTTTTAATAGACATTCGAGAATATTTTATCGAGGCATCCTGTCGCTATACTAACTTGGGCCGAGACAGTTTAAAACTGCTCTGGGCGCACACAGAGCCCCCTGGGATTGGGCACCTATGCCTGGTTCGAATCTTTTTTATTTTCATGTTTATTTTAAAAATTAGTAAAATTCATGTTTTATTTCAAAATTAGTTATTTTTGTCTTAAAAACCTAAAATATTTTTTTAATTTGTAGATTTTAAAAATATACTGTATAACTCGAGTGGATTGTCCATATCTACTCTTTTTGCACCAACTACTATTCTGAAATATTAATATAAAATGTACTAACCTTGGTTTACACGACATTTTTCCACCTGCTTCACAGGTACATATTTCACTACAGCCTTCTTTATGAATATCCCCTCTATTGAACGTTTTATTATTATAGGAACAATATTCGACAGGTTCTGTCTCTAAAAAAGAAAAAATATTAAAATTTTCCTAATTTTATGGTCAGAAGTAAAAACTACTATACTGGGTGTTCAAATTAAAGTGTTACAGCTAAATACCGCCTTTTATAAAAAAAAAACGTTTCAGACGAAAGTTTTATAGTTTTGTAGAGAAAAAATTTTGGCTAAAATCGTTTTTTATAGCTAACCATAATATGGCCAACTTTTTTTTCGCCCAGCAAAATTTTCAAGTAGCTGTTACTCAAAAAAAAAATATTTTCATCAAAAGTTTCTTATTTTTTTATGTACTTTAAGAATATATAAAAAAAATGGGATTCCCATTTGAAAAACCTTGATATGGCTATATTACGGTCAGCTATAAAAAAATGAATTTAGCCAAAATGTTTCCCCCAAAAAACTAAAAAACTTTTGCCTGAAACTTTGTTTTCTAAAATGCATATTTCCGGCGGTATTTAAGTGTAACACTTTAATTTGAACACCCGGTATATAATACTATATTATTTATTATAAATTATTACACAGTAAAATATTTGTATCAACCCAAAAGTTAAAATGTGATAATATCAACGGATGGCTTAAAAGTGGAGAATATGGAAAAAATCGGTAAATATAAACTTTACAAATCAAAAAAAAAACAATTAAAGCATACCTATCACATTAAATGGACTGGAGGTACCATATTTATGAAAACAGAGCGAAATATAAATGAGTCTAGATGCAAAGCTAAGATGGAAAGAGGATATGAAAAAGAAAAGGAAAGAACTAGACATACGATGTATAAAAATGTATTGGCTCATAGGCGGAAAATTACAAATGACATTACGTAACAAACTGCTCTTAAACAGCTTCTGATTTCTGATACCCATTTGGATATAAGGCTTAAAGGCAAGTTCAACCAACCTGGACCCATTCATCAACTCCAAAACAAAGTACTTGAGAACATTGTGGACGCTCCATTTTATATCTTATGCACAAATCTGCACAGGGACCTCAAAATGGTAATAGTTAAAGAATAATACAAGAGAAGCGAGGCCTCACAATCATATTAACAAAGAGATTGGCCCGCTACTCATTCAATGTGATAAAAAAAGGACTTAAGAGGACAAAACTTTTGGTGAAATGATCTGTGAAATATTAATTAGTGTTTTTAAGCATTTTTTAGATATGTTAGGACAGTGATGGCGAACCTGTTACATACTTGGCAAATATGACACGCCAAAACATTCTAAGTGACACATTTTGTTTATGGATGGTCACCAACTAAAAACTGTCCAAAGCGACAAGCACTCAAGAAATCACTAAGCCATGTCTTCGCATGCGGGCCTTAATAGGGATGTAAATTGATGAGTTGCAGATGCAACTGCTGAGTTTCAAGACGGCATCTAGATTCAAGAGTTTGTCGACTTGAGGTCGATACTTGAGAAAATGAAAGAAATAGTTTGGAGAACCAAAACGAAAAGGAAATTTGAGTGCTTGGAATCGATTACCTGTCACTTTTGGCACCTAGAAAACTATAGCAATGGTTTTATTGAGAATTTGTTTCTCCACGTACTTATACGAGACCCTAATTTCAGTATTAAATAACAATTTTATAGAAGATTTATGAAAAGCAAAAAAATTGTAGCAACAAAAAATTACGAAAGACTATTTTAATAAATAATATTTTTTTGTTTTTTTTTTTAGTAAATAAATATATGTATTTTTATACTACAGCTATATCTCTATATATATCTCTCGGGGTTATGATTGACTCAAGACTAACCTGGAACCAGCATCTAGAAAGAACCACAAGGAGAGCGGAAACCTCATTAATGATAGCAAGGCGATCCTTTGGAAAAAAATGGGGGTTAAAACCAGTCATGGTATACTGGCTTTATAACATGGTGGTGAGACCCATAATAACATACGCAGCTTTGGTGTGGTGGCCAAAGACACAGCAAAGGAAAGCAATAACGAGGCTAAGCAAGGTACAAAGACTTGCCTGCCTCGGAATAACGAGGGCAATGAAAACAAAGCAATGGAAGCACTAATAGGACTCCCACCTCTTCACTATGTGATACAAGGGGAGGCAAGATTAGGTGCTTACAGATTAGGGAATACACTGGGAAATCTTGACATTAGGCCAGGTCACATGAGTATATCAAGGTTAGTGACAGGAGACGTGCTAGACATGAGATCAGACCACATAACCAAGAGGTACTCTTTTAATACTCCCTTTGATGTTTTAATACAGGAAAGAGCGGAGATCACCATAAGGGAGCCCAATGCCCAACGACAGGAACAAACCTGGTATACAGACGGGTCTAAGACTGCGGAAGGCACTGGGGCAGGAGTATTCTCCAAAAACCCTGATACTAACCATAGCTATGCTATAGGAATACATTCCTCGGTATTTCAGGCCGAGGTATACGCAATTTTGCAATGTGCAAAAACGAACAATGAAAGAGCTGTCGAAAATCAGCATATTCAAATAATGTCAGACAACCAAGCGGCACTTAAGGCCATATCGAGTCAGAAAGTTACGTTGAGGCTGGTATGGGAATGCATCGAAGAACTAAGAACACTGGCAGACCGAAATAGAGTAAAACTATTTTGGGTGCCAGGTCACATGGGGATCGAAGGCAACGAAAAGGCTGACGAATTTGCAAAAAGAGGGTCAGAAGAAACACCGGAACCAGACACAAACCCAGGAGTACCAAAAAGTACAGTCCGGGATTTTATAAATGACTGGATTCGGAAACAACATATCAACTATTGGGGAAGCACCCCAAAACAGGCACATGGAAAAGCCTTCATAGGCAGACCATGTCCCAAAAGAACTGGAGAACTACTCTTAATGAATAGGAACCAGTTGAAAGTGATAACAGGGTTCATGACTGGGCACGCCCCAGTAAAGGGACACTTGAACAAAATTGGCATGTACAATGGGGAACTCATGTGCCGACTATGTCACAAGAAACCAGAAACAGCCAAACACATACTGTGCGAATGCGAAGCTCTAGATCGCAAAAGACAGGCTCTTTTTGGACAACCCCAGGTTGATCCAACAACGTATAGAACCCACTCATCCAAGGATCTGTACAAACTTGTACAAGGTACAAAAGTGATAGAGTGGGTGCTATGAACTAACATGGGGTAAAACACAATAAGCCAATAGGCTTCAGTGTTATTCGGAGACACATAGTCAGACGAGCCCAGGAAAAAAAAATACTACAACTAATATTATCACAAAATTGTAGATATTTCTGAGTTTTTTTTAAGAAATGCGACACACAGAGGTTAAAATGTTCACTATCACTGGATTAAGTTAAGACAAAATTGCTGGTTGGTCGTTCAGGACTAGATGTAATGTAATCAGTGGCGGCTCATGGGATGCTTCACAGTGACAGAATATAGGTATCATTACAGATGTATGAAAAAACTTTCAGTGTTTTAGAAAGTTCATAATATACATTTCTAAAACACTGACAGTTTTTACCTATATCTGTTCCGGGATCTACATTCTGCTACTGTAAACCCCCAAAATTTTGGTCACAAGCCACCCCTGAATGTAATATAGCAAAAATAAAAGGTACAAAAAAAGGAATCGAAATTTATTGTTTGTCAATAACTTTTTTTAACATTTTCATTCTCTTTACCTAATTCTTCTGTAATACCTGTATCTCCAGCGCACACTAGAACGGAGCAACACATATCGTCAGTGGATTGAGCAAAGCAGAGAGGATCATCGATTTTCTTTCCTTTTCTTATTAAGGGTGTGGCACATCGATCGGTACAATTCATGGTACCGTTTGTACAGGTGCAAATGGAGTCACAACCGTTTTCTATTTTATCACCGTTTTCGTACGTTAAACCACCTTGTTGACAGACACCAACTGTAAATATAAAGAATGAAAATGTTGGTTTTTCTATGTAGAATCCGATGGATTAGAGAAAAGTGTAGAGGCATTGTTGCCGACAGTCGCAGGAACCAAATTTTGACTTTTTTAAACGTGTTAAAAAGTATATGAAAGTTTACAAATAATATTTTTTTAAATTTAAACATTTCTTGCATGAAAACGTTTGACGATTGACAACAACGATTTCCATGTTTAATTTATTTAAGCATTTCAATGATAAAAATAAAGTAATTGGTACATGATAAGGTGTATCACAAGGATCTGTGTTGGGCCCTTTTTTAATTTTATTGTAATCCATTGATCTGGATACTTAATTATCGGGTATTCACGTCACTATATATGCGGCTGACACAGTAATAATAATAATAATATCTGACAGAGACAAACAGGTCATCATTCAACAAACAAACTTGATCAAACAGTATATTATTTGTTCCCAAATTTGGTGCTTCTTCAATAATTACTTAATAATGCTTCAATCAAAAATCAGTAAGAAGCTTGGCTTGATCCTAAATTTAAACGTTAAAAGAAATGATTAAATTGATTGTTAAAATCTATGTCACTGCTGATAATAATTGATAAACTAATTCATATCGTTACAGTCAATTTACTTCTTCTTTAAGGAAGACACTGCTTTTATCGCGTTAGAAGAATTGGCTGTTTCCGCAATTTTTGGTTTAGGTGCTTCGGGTTCCTTGGTTGGGTTTCTCTTATTTGACTTTTTCACCTTTGTTGAAACTAGTATAACTAAGGCGGTACTGAATCACAATGGTATAAGCTATTCATCCAGTTCTCAAGTAGGATGGCTTAGGTTCTGAAGGAGTAGATAAAGAAGTGATCGACAATGACCGGAAGGTGCGTGACAGGGCTGTACTTACCTCTCTAGGTAAGCAGAGGTAAAAGAAATGTCGCCGAAGGTAGGAAAATGTAACCAGGCGTCATAAGTACAGTTGTGACACCTGTCTCCTATACAGGTGAGCCTGAAAATTATTAAGGAGCCTCGTCTAGCCTAAAAAAGAGAAAGATCAAAGATGATTAAACCTGATCAAAAGTTTATCAAAAGCTGATCCAAAGCTGATCAAAAGCTGATCAGAAGCTGATCAAAAGCTGATCAAAAGCTGATCAAAAGCTGATCAAAAGCTGATCAAAAGCCGATCAAAAGCTGATCAAAAGCTGATCAAAAGCTGAACAAAAGCTGATCAAAATCTGATCAAAAGCTGATCAAAAGCTGATCAAAAGCTGATCAAAAGCTGAACAAAAGCTGATCAAAATCTGATCAAAAGCTGATCAAAAGCTGATCAAAAGCTGATCAAAAGCTGATCAAAAGCTGATCAAAATCTGATCAAAATCGGATCAAAATCTGATTAAAAAGCTGATCAAAACCTGATTAACAACAGATCATAACCTGATCATCCACCGTATAAATATTATTCGTATATATATCGACGATCTCTTTTTGATCAGGTACTGTTCTCTTTTTAATCAGGACTTGATCAGCTTTGATCTTCTTTCCCTTTCATACAATATGGACTAGATCAGGCGAGGCTCGTCAATACTCTTCAGGTGACAGTTGACATATCTATGCACACCTATACTTATGATACCTTTGAAGGTAGCCTTTCCTACCTTCGGCGACATTTCTTTTACATCTGCTTACCTAGAGAGGTAAGTACAGCTGTCACGCATCTTCCGGTCATTGTCGATCACTTCTTTTTCTTCTTCAGCTAGTTCTTCAGGACCCAAGCCATCCGAATTGAGAACCGGATGGATAGCTTACCGTTGCGATCCAGTCCACCTTAGTGATTCTACTGTTGAAGCCTTAGCTTTGGCAGCTAAAGCAATTGATGCGGCTATTTTTGAAGCACCGGTTCTCTTATCATCTTTTTTCTTTTTTAAAGCTTTATTTTTGCTGTAGGAGTTTTCTTAAATTTCGCTAACTTTTTAGCTGCTTTTGGTTTATCTCAGATTGCTGTTAGATCTGAAGATGTTGCAGAAGCTAACTTAAAAGAACCGATCTTTATTGATTTTTGTATATGGATGTAAGTGTTTTACATCCTGGATGTAAAGGAACTCAACGTCATGCAGACCAAAACTGTTATTTTGATACTCAATAAGTACCATGTAAAAATCAAGTTTTAATGAAAATTTTCGAAAATCTATTATACAAACTAAGTTGTTGTTGATTTATCATATTACAATATGGCGCTGACGAAACTTTTGCTGTGACGCGACTGTACGTTTCTCTAATGGAACAAACTCTACTTCAAGTAAACGATTTCAAAAGACTGTTTCTGTCTTGTTATTAAAACATTTAGTTTGACATGTTCTAACAGACTTATTTTAAGATTTTTAACTGAAAATAATAATAAGAATTAAATTTTACCGTGTGAAACATTTTTTGAAGGTTCAGTCTTAGCAGCCAATATCTTTGGTTGAACCATTTCCATATCAAAATCATCATCATTATCGTTTATGGTAACATCGCTTAGATCCGAGTCGTGCATTGACGAGTTCATCAAACCATTGCTATTATCGATTTTTCCCATCGTAAAATTCAAAGCTCTACCCTTGGGTTCTTCCGTTAAATTTGTACTAGTGCGATTTTCTTCGGTTTTGGTGGAATTCACAGGGGAGAGGGGTTCTACTGAAGATACTGGCGTTGGTTGAAAAGTGATTTCTGAGTCTTCTGCTAGCATGCTCATGGATTCGGGAAGTTCAAGTGGTTTTGAGGTGTGTGCGGTTAAATCTTGTGCTATTCGATGTTGATGTATATCTGAAATTAAAAAAATAATCAGTATTAGATAAATTTTAGCACTGTTAAGAAAATAAACAATGTTTCAATGATTGTAGCGGTTTCAAATAACGATTACAGTTTTGTTAATTTGTGCAATGACCTCGAATCTTATATTTCCTTTTGTTTCCTCGCTATAATTAATATTTTTTATTATCTTTAATTTGCTTATTTTTTTTAAAGAAATAAATGCTGAATACTAATGATTGTATTATTGCTATAGAGATAGAGCGACGCCTTTTATTCTTTATTAAAATTATAGGATGATATTCAAACTTTGATTGTATTTTCTGCCTTTTATTGCAATAAAAAAATAACTACTTCTATTTATTTATTTATTTATTTACTTATTTTTTATTTATGGATCCAAACGAATTATAAACTTAATATCATACAAACTAAACTAAAAAAATATAACAAAATCAAACTCAACTAAAAATAAAATATCTAACAATTAACATGTAAAATTTTTATAGCTCTTTTCAAAGAAGTTAGAGAGGACATAATCAATAGTTCCTAACCTAAAAACTGTGCACATGCTTGTTATTTGGGTCTATAAAATTTCGTGTTTTCGAGAGTTTAGAATTTTAGAAATTACTTAAAAACTGCTGAATAATATAATTGAAGTGTACCGTTTATCCTGATCTGATTTTTTCGCGAGGAACCATCATTCTGCTCAAGTTTTCACTAGTGTAAATACATTGAGGTTAAGATGCCAAAAATTCCAAAATGCGAGAAATGCTCTCTCAATATTGTCGATGATGGAAAGGCGCCCCGTTGCCATAGCTGTGGGGTCTTTTTCCATTTGGATGAAAAGTGCTCCGGATTGTCTGCCAGTGAGCAGCGTTCAATTGTTATTCAAAAACGCTCAATGATCTTTTTCTGTGAAGACTGCAAAACTTCCTTCAAGAAAATTTCTCTATTGATAAATAAATTAGCTGCTCTAGAGAGCAAAGTTAATTCCTTGGAGGACAAGGTTACCAGTATTAAGGAGAAAATTCAAACTTTAAAAACTGAGGGCTCTAGTTCGCTAAACTCTGACTCAGTATCTTACGAAATTCATGATCGCATTACTCGAGCAAGCAACTTGATGGTCTACAATGTTAAAGAATCATCTAGTACTAAATTGCAATAGTTTGGTACCTGTTTTTAATCAATTGGGTTTGAATTCTAGTGATGTGGTCAAAGTTATACGGGTTGGCAAGATAGCCCAGGGCAGATCCAGGCCTATTAAAGTTATTACCATAAATTCATTTACTGTAAAGAATGCAATGAGGTCTAAAAACAAACTTACTGATGGAATTAAAATTAGTTAGGATAAAACTAAACTCCAGCAAGATCAGTTAAAAGAGGTTATGTCTGAACTTAAGGAAAGAAAAGATAATGGTGAACTTGACTTATCAATTAAATATGTGCTATACCTTTTTGGGGACTATAATCTTCCACATGCAACATGGAATTATTCGTATGATGATGGTCTCTCTGTCTCTTGCTCTGCAGAATATCCAGCCGTAATAATTAGTGAGAGTTTTTCCTACTTGAATTTGAGTCAGGCCAATGGAATTCCAAATCAGCACGTTATATTCCTCAACTTATATTTTTGTAACAATGACGCTAGGAATTCGGTTACTATCGAGACAGCTGTAAACACCTTATTGCTTAATAACTTCCACCATGTTGCAATTTCATGTGAATATTAGTCCCTTTGTCTTGTGACATTGTTTTTTATGACTTTAAAGAAGCGGATTAATTGGGAGGGTATTTTAGTCAATAATGATATTAGTGTTAGTGTTGAAATTTTTTATCAGATTTTAAAATTGGCATTAGCTTTATTTGTACCTGTTAGGAGATATAAACCATCAGTATACCCTAGATGGTTTTCAGCTGAACTTAAAAAGTTGATTTCTCGCAAGAAGCAGCTCATGCTGTATTCAAAAGTACTCGCTCAGCTGTTGATTACTTAAATTTTTCCAACCTTCGGTCTCAATGTAATAATTTATCAAAACTAAATTATGAAAATTATATTTCTGGTATAGATCTGAAGGTTTGTGAAAATACAAAATACTTCTGAAACTACATTAATTCTTTGAAACAAGACCATGGTATTCCCAATAGAATGTAATTTGTTTGCTATGCATTTCTCCCGTGTTTACAAGAAAGATATTGTAGATGAGCCAAACCTTCATTATAATGCTTTTAACCAGCCTGATATTTCCTTTATACAGTTTTCCTTAAGTGATGTTTATGATGGTATTAACTTCCTAAAAGATAAATTGAGTTATGGTCCAGATGGAATCCCTGCTTATTTTTTTGAAAAAATGTAAATACGCTCTTTCCAAACCACTACAGTTTTTATTTAATTCCTCTTTGAAATACAACAGTTTCCTGCAAAATGGCGTGATAGTTTCATTACCCCATATTTAAAAATGGTCAGAAAGATGACATAGTTAACTATCGCCCTGTAGTTTTACTTTCTGCAATACCTAAATTATTAGAATTATTGTTATAATATAAACCTTTGTCATGGGTCATTGTAAAAACATTTTGATTGAACAACAGCATGGGTTTATGGGAGGTAAATCTACTAATACAAATTTACTGCTCTACGAACATTATATAATTTCTGCCTTCGAGAGGGGATGTCAGGTTGTCTTCTCGAAGGAATTTGACACAGTGAACCATGATTTGCTTTTACGGAAATTAGTGAAACTCGGGTTTCTAAACTACTTAGTGAAATGGTTAGAAAGTTACCTGCAATCCAGAGTTCAATAGGTCAAAGTTAAAAGTGTTACTTCCATTCCAATAAATGTAAGTTCAGGTGTCCCCCAGGGATCTCATTTGGGACCATTACTATTTAATATATTTATTAACGATGTGGCTTCAGGATTTAAATATTGTGAGTTCCTACTATTCGCCGATGACCTGAAATTATTCATCGAAATCTTAAACTTACCTGACTGTTTGAAGTTACAGGATGATTTAAACTATTTTATTAATTGGGCTTTAAATAATGCCATGTCTTTAAATCCACATAGATGTTTTTCAATCACCTTCACATGATCAAAAAATTCTATAAATTTTCTTTATAATATCAATACTACTGTTTTGGAGAAAGTTAGTGAAATCAAGGATCTAGGTGTGATCTTCGATAGTTCTTTGACATTTGTCCCACACATGAGATCCATCATTAGTAGAGCTCTGAAAACATTGGGATTTGTGATCAGGAACTCTAGGGAATTATCTGTGCCTACATTCCGAACCCTTTACTTAACAGTAGTGCGTAGCATCCTCTTATATGCTTTACCAGTCTAGTCACCTCATTACCGGAATCATATTTTAAATTTAGAAGCAGTTCAAAATAGGTTTCTAAGAACTTGTTAGTGGAGGTTACTTATGCCTTATCTTTCTAAAAGGGAGCTTAATAACCATTTAAACTTATTGTCACTTGAGAAAACGTTAATTAGTAATGATCTTTTATTTCTTTATTACCTCCTGGAAGGGAATATAGCTGGTCCGGATATGTTGGAGCTAATAAACTTTAGATTAAACAACATAAATATTAGAAAGAAACCATTATTTTCAATTAGCTTCCATCATACGAACTACGGACTCAACAGTCCTTTGACCAGATTTCAAAGGCAAGGAAATAAAATTAATTAGGTTTAAAAATCAGCTGAGGGAGTTTTTTTCTAAGTTTTTTGTGATATATAAGATATTTAAGTTTTTTTTTCTTTTTTGTGTGATACTTTAGGTTAGGTTTAAAATATCTACTGATAATAATTATTTTGTAAAAGAAGATTTTCCGTAAATAAATAAAATTAAAAAAATATTATTCTGATGTTTGTTAGATAATCGAAAAATTCTGGATCACATATATCCCGAACTGAAACCATGTTCTTCTAGTTGCTAACACGTACACTTTTTCAGTGTCGCTGCAGTCGTGCATTGGAAGGTGCTTCTGAATTTGTAATGTTAAAAATATTCTGAGAAATCGTATGAATCGTTTCAGCTGTGGCGATTCCTTTTACGTAGAGTGTTGACGCTTTCTTTTTTAAGATCTGGGTTAATTAATCCCAAACAACGTTCACTTATTGTAACTTGTAATTTTTTGGTATCATGTCTATCATATTTTCGTCATGGGGAATTTATTTAATTAAAGATATGTGCTTCTTTTTTTAATAAATATTCTTCAATCATTGAATTTTAATATAAAAAACATGTAAATGAGAAAAGTTCACAATATAGGTAAAGAATGATTAGTATAAAGAGATTATTAGAAAAGATATTAATAACGCATACATCAATTTGGTTACGTCTTTTAATAATAAATAATTTTGTATATTAAAATGTAAAACATAATACATGATGTACACGGTGTCTGATTAAGGACTCGTAGCGGCTGTATCTCAGAAACTATTGATCCTAAGAGAAAATGCTGCAAATTATTTTGAACTTTCTATTTTAACCGTTAGAGGGCGTAATTCGCTATGGTAATTCAAAAAAAATCACTTTTCCCCTATAAATGTCTAATAATAGTATGATAATAATAATAATCTAACGGTAATTTTGATTAAATTTTACAAAAGTTTTATTCAACAGTTTTTGCTCTATTCAATAAAATAACAGGTAGGGGCGATTGGGAACCTTAATTTAATAAATGTATTATAACTTATAACTACGGTGTCGTTTATCAGATTTTGAAAAACTTTATATCGATTAAAAGCAAATTGATTGTTTAGTAAAATATTTCAAAATAGTTCTGATTCAGTTGTATAAAAGAGCACTAGGTGGCGTTGTATAAGCAGTAACCATTTTTTTATAGTTTTCTTGAAAAATTTAAATAGAATGTTATAATTTTTATACGTTATTTAGAAAGAGCATTAAATTCTGACAAGAAACAAAAAAAAAACCGCGTCTTTTTATCTTTTTCCTAACCGAATATAAGCAAAAGAAAGTCTATTAAGGGTGAATAGTCCACTTAAATATTAATAAATAA